GCCGCTCGTCGGGCGCTGTTCGCGGGGCTGCGCGGCGGCTCCGCTCGCTCCCGAGGCCCGGCCCCGCTTGGAGGCGGGCCCAGCGATTACTCACAATGTTTTTAGGGGATTTCGGGGGCCCCCCTCCCGCTGACTGGAGGGGTTGGTGATGTCACCCAGGTCCCGGTCTGGAGCGAGGCCAGGCTGCTTGGCTGCGGCGGCCCGCCCGCCCGCGCCGGGGGACGCTTGGGCCTGTTGCGCCCGCGAGGGCCGGGTGGCTGCTCTCGGCCCGGGTTTCCGTGCCTTTTGGTGGTAGTTGCTTCAGAAACACTCGTCCATTTCCTGTCTGTCACGATCAGATGTAGTTGGGGGACAAGGGAACGCCTGGGCCCCACACCTGATAGTGGGACAGTGAGGTCCACTGCAGGGAGGGGCGGCCGAGGCTCAGGCCGTCTATCCCGCCAGCCCGAGGGGACCCGGGATCCTCTACACTCGGGCCGGTGTGGGATGCATCCAGACGGGGCAGTGGGTGGCATGGGGCGCCAGCGATCCGCTCAAACTTGCAGTCACATCCCCCGGTCGCCTCTCCGGGCCTCCAGCTAGGGTCCAGCCTCGGTTAAGACTCTTCCACTAACTGACCATCTTGGGATCCCTCGACGCGGGGAACACCCCCAAACCGAAGGGACATGTGTGCTGGATGGGGCTTGGGGGCCCCGGGCTGCGCAGCTCCCAGATTGCCCCTCTGTGGAATGAGGATGGTCCACTGGCCGCTTGCTGAGTCTTTGCAGATGGATAAAGACTTCTTTTCTCTGCATTCGTTCTAAATTCAGAATCATTTGGGAATTTGTAAAGACTGGAAATTCTGACTCGCTTTCCCAGGCTCTGAAAAAACAGGAAGAGAAAAGTGAAAACAAAGTTACCATCCGTCCCACTCATTTCAGTTTCTCCTTGAGGCCCTGGATAGAAAAAAGTCGACTTGCTTTGGAGGCGGCTGATTTCAGGTGGATGTTCGTTGTTGTTAGGTGATGGTGTTAGTCAAGTGGACAGCGGCTCTTAACGACCTTATGAACAACAGATTTGAACCTCGCTCCATCCTGACGATCTCTGATAACGCTCAAGCTCACTGTTAACACTGTCACTGGGCCAATCCATCTCCTGGAGTCTTCCCCTCTTTCTCTTATCCTCCACCTTTCCCAGCATGGTGGCTTTTCCTTAGCACTGACTTCTCCTAGTAACATGCTCTAAGTATATGAGATGAAGTTTCACCATCCTTGTCTCCAAGGAGCAGCGTGGTTGTACTTACTCCAAGACAAACGTGTTTGTTCTTATAGCAGTCCAAAATTCAGTTCTCCAACACCACAATTCAAAGGCAGGGATTTGTTTTTTTCATTTAAAATTTTAAAAATTTTAAATTTTATACTGGTTTACTTACAAAGTTCCTACACACTGTTTTTCACACCAGATCTTCCCCATTTCCTTTACCCACCCATCAAATTGTGCGACCCTATGATTCACACCACACACACACACACACACACACACACACACACATCCTTATCCCTCTGCTCCCATCCTCTCCAACTTGGATCCTCATACATGTTTTACAATAATGGTCTTACAGTATTTTACCTTATGGGACTGAGTTCACTTAGCATAATGTTCTTCCGTCCCTCCCAAGTGAGGCAGTAATTATTGCTCCTGTGTGGTGGTGCATAGTATTCCAACATGTAAATGTACCATTATTTCTCAATCTATTTGACTGTGGTTGGACAGTTGGGCTGTTTCCATGTTCTTGTTATGGTGAATTACACTGCTATGGACACTGGTGTACAAGTCTCTTGTGCCTTAGTTACCATTTTCTTGGGGTATATTACAAAACAGTGGAATAGCTGGGTCACATGGAATTTCCATGTTCAGCTTTTTTTAGGAAATGTCAAACTGCCTTCTAGAGTGGTTGTATCATTTTACAATCCACCAACAATGTATAAGAGTTCCTATCTCAAAAAAAATAAAAAAAAAAAGAGTTCCTATCTCACCACATCATCTTCAATATTTGTTACTTGCTATACTGTTAAACTTTGCCACTGCTACTGGAGCAAGACATATTTCAACGTGGTTTTTTAATAA